TCGCTAATACTTCGAAATTTATAAAATATTTATTAAGATCTTATTTAAGAATTTTAAAAATATTTTTTTTTATATAGCGAGAAGTAAATTAAGCGAAATATTAAGAGGTATTCTACTTATAAAAAATAACTTACTCTATAATTCTATTACTTTAATTAATTCGAAGATAACGAATAGATCATTTATTAATATTAGAGAGATTAATTTTTTAAAATTAAAATTAATTCGAAATCGATAATTAAATTAAAACTCTTAAAAATAAAGAATATATTAAGACTTTAGAATTAGAATAGCTTAAAGATATTAAAAGTTTATATATTAATAAAATAGAAGATTAAAAACGTTATAATTCTTTTTATTAAATTAAGTAAATTACTTAAGCTTTAATAAATAAAAAAATTTTAAAAGTATATTATAGATAGTATTAATTATTTCGAATATTTATTTATATTAAGTTTAAAGATTTTAAAGATAAACTTAATATTTCTAGAGAGTATTTATTAAAATTAATTATTTTATAAATTTATATATTATATAATTATAATTAAATAAATTAAGAATCTCGAATAACGAAGAAAACGATATCGAATATATATAATTATACTCTAAAAATACGAGCTACTATTTTCTAATATTATAATAATATATAAGATAGAGAGTATTAGAACCGATATAGATATAATATTAATATAGGTATGTTGAATAAGATAACTAAGGTATCGAACTATATAGGTAGAAGAAAGATATCAAGTAGTAGATGGATGCCTCTGTTAAGACACGCTAGGCCCGAATGAGTAAGAGGGCTAAGTGGTATATTAAGGATATAGGGTACGCTCGTAACACTACCCCCCCCCTTTATTAAATCATATTTCATAATTAATAAATAGAAAGGTAGAAAAATGGATATATATACACGCTTAACGTCTAAAAAATAATAAAAGCAGTAAAGAAATAACCGTATCCGGGATCCACATCATCGCAACTTTCTTCATAAGAGGTATTAAGAACGGTAGCAGCTCTTTATACTTACGCCCTAGCGACGTCGCTAGCCGAGATATAGGCGCATGTAGGGAGCCTAGCTAGAAGGAAATCGATATAGTGTAGTGAAAATAGTGTTTATGGGCGTAGGGGTAAATAGCGATAATTTCCGAATCTATATCTGAGCGGATGAAAGGTTCGTGGAATAGCGCGATGTAATTGGTCGAGGGCTCCCGAATCGAACCGAACCGAACCGAGCCGTAGACGCTAAGAACTCTAATTCGATATTAATGAGTTTCTTTATAAAATATCATATAACCGATATTAATGAAGGCTATCGACTGCGAGAGTGAGATCTATAGGTAACGTACTATGGCTTCAGAAGGTGCTTGGATATCTATTAATAAGGGAACCCTACGCGGGAAACTCTATATGATGTAATTTGTGATCGATATAGACCTAAGGAATCGATTCTCGGCTTCTAAAAAAATAAGGCTATTGTGAAGATATCGAACGGTTTCAATTTGATTAAAAACGGGGTATCTAAGATAGTTTCGATATTTCATAAATTAACTCTTATAGATAAGGCTCTTTAGAATATCGTTTATAGAAGTCATCTACTAGATCTTAACAATTTTCGAATTCACCGCCGTCCATATTATACCAGATAAGATTATTATCGAGACCTTCTTACTTAACTTTATACTTAAAATAACTATTAATTAACTTGGATATAAGTATTTCTTTAATAACCTATTCGATTCAATCGTTGATAATCACATGCTTCGGCGGTGGATTTATCTATTCTAATAAGGGGTTATTCGCAGCGAGACTTAATAGATTAAGGTAGAAGACGTTATAGATTCTTATACTTAATAAAAGTTTCAGATAATATAAGGTTCTTATAAGGCCTATAACCTTAAATAGGCTAAGTCTCTTATAATCCAATTTACGGAAAGGACGATCGGAGGTAATATTCTTACTACTTAGAAAGACCTTATCGCCTATCTAAAAGGTAATCTTTTATCAATACTTATTAGCTTATATAATTATAGCCTTCTAAGTACAATCCATATTACTTCTAATATACTTAAGAACCTATTTTATATAATCCGTGATATTCTCTATCTAAGTAGTATTAAGACGCTTATAAGTAATCTCGTAGTTAGTAATATCCGAGCTAAAACTTATTCGAGAATAAAATCTCTTATTTACGAGGAAAGATGAAATATCAGTAGCCGCTAAGATAATATTATTATCGACGAACTCGATAATAAGTAGCTATCTTATCTAGTCGTCCTATATATAATTACAATATATTCGAAGATAACGCTCTATATTCTAATTTACTCGCTCGATTTATTTATTAATTTTAGAATAAAAAGCTATTAATAGCTTAGCTATAATATCTAATCACTTATAAAAGAATTTTCATATAGTAGCTATAAATTAAGGTCTTCGATTTAATATTATTAAGGCCGGCAGGCCATATAGACGAAATACTTTTTTAAGTAATAAGTTGACTGTCTTTTTAGCGATAGTACCTTCATCGATGTTAGAATAGACTATATAGTAACGTTTCTTGGTAAATTAATCGATTACTATCTAAATAGCATTATAATCATCGAATATAAACAAGCCTATAACGAAGTCAACCGATATATCTTATTATCGTTTTTATAAAATCGGTAGAGACTAGAGTAAACTATATTCTCGATCTTAGAGTATCTTAGCCCTCTAATAGATATAGCAATTCTAAATGTAGATGATTACTATCGCTCTTATTCCTCATTAATAGTACTCCTTTTAAGTAGTTTATAAGTATATACTATCTCGAAATAGCCGTAGAATAGTTAATTATATACCTCTCAAATAATATCAATATATATATTATCGAATACCTATAAACGATTTTTATAATAAAGCACCCTATTCTATACGAAGCACTTATTAAAGATAATCCCTCGAAACTTATTCTTACTCTCGACAATAGCGTTACGAATTTTCATATAATAGTTATTCTTTTTATTAGCGCCTACTACTTTATAATAAATAAAGTCGTTAATTATATATATATCGATACTTTCGCTATCTAACTTCAATCGATTAGAAATAAAAATTATTTAATACTATTAGCGTAATCGTTCGTCTTCGAAATTGATTAATTTATACTCAAGCCATTCGTATAAGTATATTCGCCTTAACATTCTAAGGCCTAGATCGATAAATGATCTTTATATTAAATTCGGACAACATATTCAAATAGCGGGCCTGGCGATGGCTGAGGTCTCTTCCTTCAGCGAAGTATATTAAGTTCTTATAATTCGTGAAGATCTTAATAGGGATGTTAATGTATTTCAGTTTAGAATACCAGTATTTAAGATAGCGAATAATGGCTAGTAACTCCTTATCGTAGATCTAATAATTACACTCTACTGAAGTAAGGTTTTTACTATAGAAGGCTATCGGGTGAAGTACTCCCTTATTATCGTATTAAGAAAGAATATCTCCGTTAATATAGTCGAAAGAGTTAGTCTCTAGAACGGCCTCTTTTATTCTATCGAAATAACGTAGAATTAAAGCTTTAGTAATAGCGACTTTAAGGAAATAAAAGGCCTCTTAATATACTGGGGACCAATCAAATATAGCCTCTTTTGCGGTGAGTTTTACTATGAATTTAACTATTTTAGAGAAATCTCTAATAAATCGCCGATAAAAATTATAAAATTCGATAAAGGTCTATATCTCCTTAAGATTAGTAGATATAATTTACTCGACAACAGCCTAAATTTTAATAAGGTCTATTCGTAACCCGTCTATAGACACCAGTAGACCTAGAAATTTAATTTCCTAGACGTAGAATTCGCACTTAAGAATATTCACCTAAAGGCCGGCGTCCCTCAATTTCTAGAGAATTTATTTAACGTATTAAATGTATTCCTTTTTTATCTTACTATAAATAAGTATATCATCGAGATAGACCTAGTAGAAATCGTTTAGATACTCAAATAGAATATTATTTATATACTGTTAATATGTGGCTAAGCCGTTGATTAGATCGAAAAAGAGAATCCGATACTTATATACTCCCAGAGAGGTAATAAAAGTAGTAAAATCTTCGCTATCGGGGTACATACGTAGTTTATTAAACGCGGCTATAATATCTAACCGAGTAAGGTATTTATATCTCTAAATTCTTATTAAAACCTCATCTATTAATGGAATTAAGTATCGGTTCCTTTTAGTAATAGCGTTTAGCTTTCGATAATCCACACAAAAACGTAATCCTCTATTCGACTTTTCCGCGAATAGAATAGATAAGACGAATAATATATAACTTGATATTATAAATCCCTTCTTTAGATATTCATTCAAATACTTCTTTATCTATTTTAGCTTATATTCTAACATTAAATAAATCCTACTTTTCGAAAGTTTCGTTTTATTAGAGCTATTATTAAATTTCAGCTTATGATTATAAGAACGATATAGGGGAAGTATATTCGCCTTAGTTCTATCGAAAATGTCAGCGTGTCTAGTTCCTTCATGTTCTATGCATGCGTTCCTTCTACATCCTTCCATGCATATTCCATCATTGTTCCTTTCATGTAGCTAGCCATAGATAGCAATGCTTTATTCTCCATCAGCTACATAATAGCTGATGGCCCCACCACTGAATCTACATACTTTCTATCACCACTGCTGTGCTACGCTAAGAGGTTATAAGCCCCCAATTAATGCTGGTAATACATTAACATTCTAATTACATCAAATTTCAAAAGAAAACACACACACACGTCCTTCTAGCCACAATGGGCAAATCAGGACAACAAGACGGTGAAGGCCAACAGCCTATCACACCCACACCAGAGGAGTTACAGGAATTGTATAACCTACGGGCCCAGAAGGCAAATCAAATAAAGCTTAAACAGTCACGGCCCAAGAAGATCTTCAAATTCGCTATGCTTTTATCGACAGTCAACATCCCTACGCTTAAGGGAGCATCCAATTGGGACCGCTGATATTAAACGGTGTATGGTTGCTGTTAGATAGCTGGAATATACTCGATCCTCGCTGGAACACTAACCCAGCCACAAGGGGACGAAGAGTACGATAAATGGGAGTCCGCTAACTCATAAATTGAAGGCAATATCCGTATATCTCTTAAATCAGATAGTCATGCCCACATCGCAGGTATCCATAATACACACAACATAATCAAAGCACTCGAAGGTGTATACAAATCCAAAGAATACACCTCCCGTGAAGTATTGTGAAGGACCATTAGCCGTGTAAGCTTAGCTGACTACAAAGGAGTCACTGAGTACGTTAAGGCAATCAAACAGGCCAAAACAAAACTCGCTGAGTTAGGCCACCATTACACGTGGAAGATCACAACGTCCTTCCTTCATAGACTTCCCTCCTCTTACAAATCATTTGTAGAAATCGTCTTAAACAGCCGAGGCAAAGACGCCAACGGAAGGCTATTAAAACCAGATTTCGACTATATCGTCGAACAACTCCTTAATAGAGAACGTCGTCAGAAACTAACTAGTACCAATAACTCCAATGGCAAGGCCATATTCACAAACAACAAGAACAAGGGAAACGGCGGCAATGACCGCAACAACAACAACAATTACAATCCCTAGCCCAAGTGTGACGACTGTGGTCGCCACCATAGTAGGACTTGCTGGCTATCCAACCCCGATCAGGCCTCCACTAAGTGGATTAAAAGAAACAAGGACCATATCGAGGAATTCAAGAAGAAAAAGAAGGCTAGCAAGCCTACTACCTCCACCGGATCTACCGAAAAACCAAAAATTGCAAGGGCGGCCTGTGCGAAGGCTGTCACGACATCACGTGACGACGGCTGGTATTTCGATAATGCAGCCTCATTCCACATGACATATTCCCGTGGGTAATGCCCTGCTGGAGACCCTCATTGAGAATGACGACGGCGAGGACGAAGAATGCATACTCACACTTGCAAACGTCCACTACGTCGAAGGTCTATCCACAAATCTACTCTCCCTAGGCACGTTCCAACGTAACGGCCTCACTTACACCGGAAAGGGGGACCGTTTAAGAGTCTATAACGACAATAACGACACTATCCTTAAGGGAGAACTGATAAACACACTATGCAAGCTGAGACTCACATCATTTAAAGCTGCAATGACCAAAGAGATCGCCATAGCCGCGGTTATCAAGAAGGCTAACCACCGTAAGACAACAGCCATTGAATGGCATCAAGCATTAGACCACCTGAATTTCAATGACGTTACCAGGCTACCGGCTATGGTAGAGGGAATGAAAATCATAGGCAACACCAAAAGACAATTTTGTGAGCCATGCACCTATGGAAAACAGAAGAAGACCCCAAGCCACAAACCAATGACTGAGGTAGAAAATGCTTTTGATAGCATCCACACAGACCTCTTTAATAGCGGATCAACATTACCCCGCTCCAAAGGAGGCCACTACTATTGCTCCACAAAGACCGATCAAAAGACTCGATTCCGGTAAGTAGACTTCTTGAAAACCAAGGACCAGGCACTTAAGTCACTACAGAACTTTGTTGCCATAGTCAAGACGCAGTTCCATACCACCCCCAAGTATATCCGTTTTGATAACGATAGTGAGTATGATAACGAGGAAACCCGAGACTGGCTAGCCTCCCAAGACATACGACAAGAGTTAACCATGCCCGATTCACCTAAACAGAATAGCATTGATAAGCGTACCAATGACATTCTCATTCAGAAGGCACGTACCCAGTTAATAGCTGCAGATCTATTACCAGGCCTATAGGCTGAGGCAATTAGAACAGCTGTTCTAAACACAAATTACTCACCCACGGCCCCATTAAGAAAGATAGCCATGACACCATATGAGGCCCTCACTGGAAAGAAGCCAAACATAGCTCACCTAAGGCCATTTAGGACGACGATTTACGCCCACGACTACAAGCACAAACAAAAGGGAAAAATGGCCAAACAAGGGTTCAAATGTGTCTTACTTGGCTGGATACGATACATCCTACCAAAGCTAAAACAAACGATTCGAAGGATTCTAAACGGATGTCATTAGACTGAGGAAGTCAAGAAGGAGTATAAACACCAAAAAAAAAAAAAAAAAAAACCAGCGATTCGGAGGACCCTGGACCAGAGCACTAGAATAATACATGATTTTAGCGTTGGAATAGAGGTATTTGGATATCACTAGACAGGGGAGTATCAGCGTATCTAGTTCCTTCATGTTCTATGCATGCGTTCCTTCTACATCCTTCCATACATATTCCATCATTATTCCTTTCATATAGCTAGCCATAGATAGCAGTGCTTTGTTCTCCATCAGCTACATAATAGCTGATGGCCCCACCACTGAATCTACATGCTTTCTATCACCACTGCTGTGCTACGCTGAGAGAAAACATTTAGATAGTCGTAGTACTTCGAAGATAACTTACGTTTCACCTCCTTAGAACTAACCTCGTCGATGTTATTAATCTAAATAGAGCAGTTAGAACCATAACACCTTTTATATTTCTTTTTTAAGTCACAGAAACAGAGTTTATTAATCGATATACGGGGACCGCGAGATATCTAGATAATAGAAGATATATATAATATTAGCGTATTCTTATAGATCTCATTCATTATCAATATAAACAGTTTATTACCTTTTTCACGAGCTAGTTAGTAGTAAGCCGCTATATTAATCTCAGCGATATTAATAAACTTAAGCTTTTTACTATTCTTATTCTTATTTAATAAGAAGATATTCGAATTAATTTCGTTATCATAAGTGAATAAGGGAGGGCTTTATCGTTTTAATATAATAGATAGAAGAGTAGGTGATATAGATAATCGCAGCTCCGGAGTTAATAGAAAGGGAGTTCGTTTATTATTAATATCTAATTATTATTATAATTATATCGATTAGATAGAAAGAGTATCTTATCCCATAACATGTTAAGAACTACTCTATATTTATTTATCTATAGTTTTTCAACTATTATATCGTATTTTAATAATGCAATTAGCATTAGATATATTCCTTCTCAATAGCCTTCCACTATTATTATTAAAAGTAAGCAGTATATAATTAATCGTTTTACGATCTAGCCGTTATAATCTCTTAGTAATTTAGATCGTAATAGTAGAAGTAATTCTAGATATAAGGCCTTATATATCGCTAGAACTAAGAATTTATTTATAACTATATAAGCACCGATATATTTATTATTTATAAGAAAGTCCTTAAGTAGATAGATTCTCTCTTATAAGAATAGCGTAACTTATATACGAAAAGGATAACGTGCTAAGGCGTTATTAAAAGTATCTATTAGATATACTTTATAAATACCTCTTATCGTAACTTTAAAAGAGGCTATTCATTTCTCAAATTCGAAAAAGCATCATTACTATCTATAGTGTCGACGTTATTAATTTCGAATTCTTCGTTCATATCTATCGCGTAGAGTCGTGCTTTCTTAAAGGCCTTTTTGCCGATCTCAATTTAAGTAGCTATTATATAGGTATTTCGATAGTAGTCTTTCTTACCGCAGTTATAGCATATTAATTCCCTTAATTTTAAATTAATCTTAACATTTAAAGGCGTAGCGGTCATAGCCTCAGTAATAGATATAAGGCGTATATTAGCCGCGGTTCGTGTAGTAATCGACTTGATAGTAGCCTTCGTAAACTCTATATCTTTATATCTAGCACGGTATAAGTTATTCAGTTTCTGGAGATATTTCTTTGTAGCCTTTAAGGTGGTAAAACCCCCTACGATCTCCTATAAATTTCTTAGATTCTTTCTCAATTTATTTAGAAGGTAATACTTCACTATAACGATTTCTTTAATATTAAAAATAATATTTAGTCGAATAAAGTCTAAATAGAAGTCGATAAAGGTTCGGGTTTCTTATTATAGAGTATATATATTACGTAATATATTACTACGTCGATCTAAGTTCTCGTAGATATCGATTAACTCGTTTATGATTTTAGTGAAAGACTGGTATAAGTTAGTGGAGTTTCGAAGTCTTCTATATATCGTATATTATATAGTTTTACCGCCGAGTTATAAGATTACGTAAGCTATCTTAAAGTTCTTAATAAGATAATAATCGCTATTAATCTTAAATTTCTATTTTATTCTAAAGGATTAGTCGTCTTAAATAAGATCGCTATCGTCGATAAATAGAGGTAGGTCTAAAATCTTAACTGATTTCTCTTTTAAACGTCTAGACGTGCGTTCCTCCTCGATCGATAATAGCCGTAAGTCTTTTATTAACTGTATTTCAAGGCCATTGACTTTCCGCTACAGGAAAGTTATATCCTTCTGAAAGTCTCGGGCTAGTTAATTTATCTCCTCGATTATTCTATAGGCCTAATATAAATCGTTTATAGCTAGATTCTTTTCTATAACGACGGCGTGATATCGAGTAGCAATCTCCCGGAAATCATCTCGCTCCTAGCGAATTTCATTCAATATAGTTATAAATTCATCGGGTTAATACTTAGCTTAATATTGTAGTTATAGACTATTAGCGACATCCCAAGATATATCTACCGAGTCCGCCTCGTTAGGGATATTATCTAATAGAACTAATATCCGTCGGAACTTGGTTTACTCTAGTAGAGTCTTGATTTGATCTATTCTTTCGATGTTAGACTTCGTTATGGGAAAAAAGAAGGTTTTGAAACAAAGTGGAGAAGAGTTTAAATGCTCCGAAAGAATGGGTGTTGGGGACACCAGATGTACTAGAGAACAGTGAAGTTTCTCCAAGACGCGTCGAAATTATTCGGTGTTGAGAATAAAAATTTTCACTGTGAAGCCCAAGGAGTCTTTCTTTGCGGGGGTTTAACACACTTATCTCTTAATCGTTTGAGGCGTCAAGAAGACTGTAGGTGCTCTGAATAGTGCCCTTTCGAATGCACTTACTCCGCCCAGGGGGTCCCTTATCTTGTAGAGAAGTTGTATGCGGGGAAGCTTGCAAATGGTGTTTTGA